CAACAAATAGATATTTACACAGGATGGGTTCTCACCCATATCAATGGCCATCTCGGAGGGACCCAGCTGACAAGAGTTGCAAGCGTCGCCACCGCTTTAGACTTTTCTGACTGCAATAATTTCAGGTTTGCACTTTCATTTGAAATTAAAAAATCATTTAAATATTATGTCATTATAAAGATATTTTACAAAAAAAATTAAATATAAAGACAGTGTATAACAATTCACTCATGTAAACTCCTAAGACAGGCCTACAAATATGTACACAAATGTATACACACGGAAACATTAATAAAAGAGATATAAAACAGGAAACAACCGATTTTATATAATGGTCATGTTATCTTGGGTCTGGATTTGCCCCTTTTGAGGAGTCATTTGTGGGTTTGTTTCTATAACTTGGAGACTAATGATATCTTTATGCAACAAAGTCCATTTGAAAGAGAAATGATAGTTTCTGTAGTAATGAAATGGTAAAGATTCAAATATGAAAAAGATACAAAAATGAACTTTGAATATCCAACTTTTTGTTTGCTTCTTTTTCAATTTTTTCATTTCATGAGCTTCAGTTGATCCCTTGTCACAGAGTTTTTAACCTCTCAAAAATGTGCAGACAACTACACATCAGATTTTTAAAATTCTTTTTCGCTTTTTATATGAATTTTTGAAAATAAAGAGTAAAAAAAAAATTTTTTTTTTCTTTTTTTACATTTCTTTTCTATGGAAACTAAATCAAATTTTCCAAAAAGCTAACATAGTTGTCATAGGAATTCATTGATGTTAATTCACATTTTTTTTCTGACATAATTCATAATCCTCTTGGACAAAGGATCACCCGCGCACATGAAAAAAAAAAAAAATTAAATGCCCCCTACATAGGCACCCCCATAAATTCAATATTCAATAGTGGTTTCATAAATTCCTTATCAGTGTTTAAAAAAATGAAAAGTTTGCCTTACATTCTGTATTTACTATTCTATTGTAAATAGCTTTATATTAGGTATAAAACCAATATTAAAAAAAAAAAAAAAAAAAAATCTAGAAAAACAGGTAAAATTCCTGTATTGTATTAATTTATACAAGTAATATATGCATTAATGAATTCAAAAGTATTTTCCTTACATGATGCACTCATACCTCAGTTTTAGGGACCATTCTCAAATAAATATCAGAAGCAACAGACAAAATCTAGAGCAGCCAAATCAATCTGTAAGTCCCCCACATTGCAAACACAGTTGTGACAACAATGGACTCAAGCCACTGCTTTGCAAACTAACAACTAGTTAATGGGGCAAATTAGTTATACCTGTGGTTACATGTGTAACTACATGTTATTTATTGCTCCATGATTTTTCCCCAATTTAGTATTCAAAATTTTCTATTGTCATGCCATCTGGAGGAAGAGAGGAAAAGCAGAAAAGTGTGAATTTAACAATAACACAAACTGTAATTGTTGATATTACCTGCTACAGACTTATTGTCTATAACTATTGACAAACAATATCAGACAATAGTTAAAAATAAACAAAGGCCTTGTCCACATGAACGTACTTTGCTCAGTAAAATTTGCCTCTCTGCGGAATAAGGCTGTCATAAGCATTTATAATGGTGTCCAAATGACATTAGTTGGAGAGTCTAAGCCTGCCAGTAACAAACAGGACTGAGTGGTGTAAGACGACATGGACCGTAATTCCACCTTGGCTTGACATTTCTCAAAATATAGAAACCAACTGATTGATGGTGGGACATGAGAACTGACAGCTCATGAGTACTGCCATACAGTGTCAGTTTGTGCATCTGGCAGCAAATTCATAACACACCAATCACCAAACTTTGACAAGCAAGAGGCAAGTCATCGATATTCGCTGAACATTAGGGGAAACCTATACGAAGATTTGCTTGCTGTTCTTCCATTTCTGACGTCACACCAAGCAAACCTCGCCTGTGTGGACAGGGCCTAATGGTATGTTCTATATGAATACATAGGATTGACTGACTCTTTAAAATCATATGCCGTGCCAACAGCTTGGATATATAGGTGGTCATCTGCCTCCTAAGGAGTACTCGTATAGCTGGCTAGGCCCTACCATGATCAATACTTAATACAGGGAATCTCCATTATCTGTCATTTCCCTCTTTCATCACTGATATATTGTGGTTACATTGTTATTTCAGTTTCACTCATAACAAACATGAAATACATGACGATCCTGCTTCCTTCACAAGAAATCTGCCGAGATATAAAAGGTGATCCTCCTCTTTCATCTACTCATGCAAAGTCCAAATCTTGTTCTTGTCGCGTCACCCACACACCAATGGTCACACCTCCAAACTCATATATTGTGAGTAATAATTACCTAATGTTTCATTATTTCTGATATTGGCATTTTTCTTTCATATTAACTATTCCTTAACCCACTTATGACAGGTGTCACACAAATGAGACATCCGTAAAAATAAACATTACCGGGCATCCCACAGGTGCGATGCGTGGGCAGGTTCCTGGACTTGCACACAAGGCAATTTTGAAGCCACCCAGAAAACAAGTTACGGCTTGAAAATGTACCGTCGCTAGTGGGTTAAGACATATAGGTATTACTCATTTAAGTAATATGTTGAGAAAATACCTACAGACTTCATGCATCAGCAAATCACACCACACCTATTTATAATATATACACCATTTTAAAATATAGAATGAAATGTATTTGTCAAATCATTATTCTCTTGCATTTGCTGGTCCATATTAACATTTAATGACAGGGATCCTCTATAATAATATTTAACTTCTAATTCCAGCAATACATCTCGTAGTTTCCTTTTTATAACTTCATAATAGGGTTTTTCATGAACCACTGATTGCATTAATACTGGCATATGTGATCAAAGATAAGTCCTAGTCAGATTTATTATTTCTGCAGAGATATGGGCAGCAAGTTCACTTGCAGAGCTGAATCACATTTGATAATCAGTAATAAAATTTGACTCTATATTCTATATTCTACACCTGATAATGATAATCACCTAAGAGATCTACAAATGGTAAATACAATGACCATCATCATGGTAACAGAAAGTGGATGTTAACAGCTTTTCCTCTTTTCAAATATTTAGGGCAAATTTTTCCTTTATGTCAACAAGAATTTTACATACCAGATTCAGAATGCCTCAAGTTGCTTAATGTGGTTTGTAAAAAATGTGGCGTTTGTTCATTTTCTGCACAATCATTCTGTTTTTGAGTTGGTATCCCTATTTCCCTCCCTCAATCCCAAAGGCCTGGCGGATGAGAATATATAATATAATACGAAAATGCACACTATGCAATTTAGTTGCAATATGTTTACTCACGTGGCACACTGTGAACATGGCAATCACAGTTGCCCAAGTCCCTTACAGTGCTGTGGTTATAAGGTCAACAAATCCAACATGTATATTTTGGTAAGGCTTGTTCTAGTTTCTGATCTGATAATAAACCACAAGGCTGTATCATCAACATGCATCCCATATCGTCAATATATATCCCATACATAAATTAATATAATTGTATATACTATATACATGTTTTAATGATACGATATCTAGCTCTGAACTCTCTCAAATGGTTCTGCTGTAGTAAGCAACCTGAAAGTCTTTGCTTCTTACTGGCCTACTTATTTAAGGGTAGTTTTCACTGGTCATCCTTTACTGACATATTAAATGTCAAGGCACAAATTATTATAATTGAAAGATGGTTCTTTTCTAAACAAGTGTACATTTCTATAACTTTATTACACAATCTGTCAAGGAAATGTCATAAATAAAACGTGTCAATTTATCAATTCCTGACACTGACAATCATGAAGGTCACTTTATTCATGTACCAATTTTAATAACTTTCTCAACTTAAATTTGCTACAACTCGTCTGTGCCATACAAATTCAGGGTAATAGAATCATTAATCTCTCAATACCAAAACTGAAATCGTACTGAAATACTTTTCCTCAACAGAATAACACAAAAATTTAATATTCCAAAATAAAAGAAAGGTAAATCTAATGTAATTTTCCTATTCATTTATTTCTTGTCTCCATTTGCACAAACAAATAAATATGAGAGAACCAATTTGCAAATGCATATCTACCAACGTCTATTTAGGAAATTTACAGTTAAACTAGCACATATACAGGAGAAATAGGAAAATATTACAAAAATGTACCCTCATCCCCATTAACTACCGCAGTCTCTCACACTTGTTGCCACACCCACGCTGACAAAGGCCAACTCCTTACATACAAGCTGGCTCAGTAAAACCTGAACAGTAACCACGTATTTAATCAAAGAGTTTAAAAAAACACATCCATGCTCTACCTTGCCTTTACAAATGATCTGTCAGCCTTTGTTGGGGTATTAATAAGCACACCTGCTACAGTAATCACTTTACTCTGGAACACCAATGGGCTGGACGTAAGATTTTAGGTCTTCAATCATAAATCAGAAGTTACAAAAGCTTTTGTTACCATAATTAGGAGAAAAGTCTTGTTTTGACAGCCACTTTGGGTCATTGTTGTGTTTAACCATTTCTTTTTTTTTAATATGTGTATGAGAACATTTACAACTGTACAAAAAGGAAGTAGTGAAGTAGATACATAAATGATGCAGTGTCCACTGACATAAAACCGAAATTTCTTCTGTCGTCTCTGTAACAACCAGCTGACACTCTTCCTTGCTAGAACCTTATCTCACCAATGATTCCTCAAACTTCAAACACATCGAATTCTTTACAAACCGAGGGTTTTCTTCTCAAAACACAGAAAATAAGGTCGGGTTTCATCCGCCACCGAGACACCCGGGTTATCACACTCTCTTCACTCAACCAAAGGCTCGCTCACCTGAACCACGTAGAGCAGGCCTTACAGATTACAAGGACACATGAAATGGGTCATAATGGAACACGACTCGTACAACAACACAGGTGAAGACCCCAGACAGACCCCAGACAGAGACCCCAGTCCCATGATTACCTGGTGCCTCCCCCGGCCCCACTCGTCTCTGGGCTCTCTTCTGGTGAACTCATCAACTTCCGCTGCTCGACTGTATCTTAAAAAATAGAGCCTGGATGAGTCTTAATTAAAGCTAAATAATCCCGGCGCGAGTTAATGATTCTTGCTTTCCTAAACTACATAGTCGCCATGTCTCTTTCAACTCAGCTGGGAAAATTCGCGAGTAAGAAAATTTGGCGAAAATGCACTACGAGGGATGGATCTATGGTTATTTGTTATTTTTAGGGAGGTAAAAATTCCGTGTTTAGGTTCTACTTCATTTTCTTATATATGCGATGGCTCATGTTCCAGTAATTCGACAAAACATTTTGAAGTTTTAAATGTTCGCGATATTACTTCGGCAGGAATGGACTGAATCAATGGTTCTTTCCCATTATCAACATAATAACTTAGATTGTTTTTGGTGTCACTCATAATCTACATTATTTCAACTGCGATATTTTTAAAGATTATGATTTTTTATATCCAAGGTTACACAGTAACGGTAGTGCGCAATTACACTAGCCAATGAAATTAAAAAAGAAAATATGGGGCATGGATATTGCATTTTAAATGCAATTTCACATCGTCATTGTGAAGGAATGTATTAGAGATTTCTTTATTTCAAAATAAAGCAAAGATTACAAATGTAATCTTATTATAAAAAGGCCTAATGTCAGTTAGTATTCAGTACAAAATATAGATAGATAGAGTCTTTTTCAAAATATAAAGATATATTTTTATCATCTGAATTATTTTCTAGCACATTTATGGTCATGGACTTCACTCGTGAAGGGCGTGACTGTGAAACCATTGCATGAGTCGCAGCATATAAGTAAATGCAAGTCACTTTCAGGCAGTCCTCAGGCTAAGATGAAACCAGCAGCTATCAGGGAAAAAGAAGATGATAAAGTGCTATGAAGTAAAACAGCCACGTTTCATGTGTTCTCTTACATTACATTACCAATGAATGTGAGAATATTCTGTAAATAGGTTTGCATGACAAAACGCTTCGTAGTGCGCACATTTGATTAATGAGGTCATTGGTACGCAGCCATGTAGACTGTTCATACATTTAACTCGACACTAATTTTTCTAAGATTATGCAGCAAGAACACTAAACGGCAATTGATGAACAACGCACACAGCAAACACATTTGAATGCCAATCTCACAGCGAGGAAAGCTGTAACGCAGATAACGATAAACGAAACATGTTGCGGACACGTTGCGCGAAATCATTTGAAAATTATAAGCTGTATTTTAGTCTCACATACTTTGATAAATTATCACCAGATAAAGGGAAAAATGAGAATATTTCCAATGCATTTTTTGTTTAACATTTATTTTTAAATGTTAAACCAATATTTACCTAACTATACAAGGCTATTTGTTCAAATAATCTTTAATCACTTTAATGCATTCACTTAAAAAAAATGTTTGCAACAAAATGAAAAATTCTTTTCGTTCTACTTCATAAATTCTGAAATGTCCCAGTCCTAGCTTTTATCTTTCTTTATCTTTTTCATCATCATTTGATCAAAATTGTCTCCCGTAAGTTTTCATTCTTATTTGTTTTATCCAGTGCATTAGTGGATGATAAAAGCCGGTTAGGTTAAAAAAAAACTTTTACAAAACATGCCTGGGAAATGATGAATATGCACCCTGTCAAGAAGAGGCATTTCCTATAGAAATTCGTTATGCTGAACAGGAACTCAGGGTCTTCAAGAATCCTCTTCTTTATTTGTTCGATATTTACCGACATTGCCCCAGCTTATGGAGTGGTAACATTTGTAGTTAACACAAACAGATAGTCGCTAGTTAAAATTTAGGATTGAGAATAACGGATCTTAGTAGACAGCTAGTTCACTAGTCATATTTCTGGTGTCTTCTATTAGTCTTTTACTAATATATACATACATACATATACAGATATATATAAATAGATACATAATTGGATAGATAGATAGATATAGATATACATATGTATATGTATACACACACACACACACACACACACACACACACACATATATATATATATATATATATATATATATATTATATATATATATATATATACATATATATACACAGATATATATATACATATATATATATATATATATATATATATATATATATATATATATATATATCGTGTATATACATATACATATACATATTCTCATTCTCTCTCTCTCTCCTCTCTCTCTCTCTCTCTCTCTCTCTCTCTCTCTCTCTCTCTCTCTCTCTCTCTCTCTCTCTCTCTCTCTCTCTCTCCTCTCTCTCCTCTCTCTCTCTCTCTCTCTCTCCTCTCTCTCTCTCTCTCTCTCTCCTCTCTCTCTCTCTCTCTCTCCTCTCTCTCTCTTTCTCCCTCTCCTCTCTATATATATTAATATATATATATAATATATATATATATAATATATATATTATATATATGTGTGTGTTGAGTGTGTGTGTGTGTGTGTGTGTGTGTGTGTGTGTGTGTGTGTGTGTGTGTGTGTGTGTGTGTGTGTGTATACATGATATGTATATGTATATACATACATATATATATGTATTAAAATACAATACACACATATATATACATATATATGTATATATATATATATATTATATATATAGATAGATATATATATTCGCACACACACACACACACACACACACACACACACACACACACAC